TGACAATGCCCTTTGCCTTAGTTTTAAATATGCCTGTTGATAGAGAACTTGACCTTTGACCTGCTTTCACGTCTCTGAGCTCTGACGAGATACCTTTTCACAATGCTTTACTTTTTCAAGGCCCGTGCTGCTTTATTTTTACAAGGCCTGAGGCCTATATCGGGTAAAGGCCCTTTTAGGTACCCCTTTCATTTGTTCTTGCAGCGCCCGTTTTACTATGCCATTCACGTACAAGGCTGGTCACGTTGACTGTCGTTGAGCACCAGCTGCCCACACCCCCATGAGCCTTAACGGCACACCTGGACGTTATGAAAGGAGAAGAGGTAACCGGGGATGTATACTGCTGTTCATTTTTCTTCAGATCTTCAGCTTTATATTTTGTCTGTTGACTCTGTTCTCTTAATGAACCTCATTCGTGTACCAACTGCTCTCTCACAGTTGGTACACCACGGAACTGTTGAAATATAGACCTGAGTATGAAATCCAGTCGAAGCAGATGAGTGAATTCTGAATTACCTAGGGCCGGTCAGTTTTTTTTTGTTTTTTTAAGCTCATTCATATACATTTACCAGTACACAAGGGGAGGGAGGAAGAGAAGGGGCAGGAGGCGGAGTTCTATAGGGAGCAAGCGGCAGGGGAAGGAGAAGGGGTAAGGGAGACAGTGGAGTGTCGAAGGACAGAGCAGAGACATGATGAACTTCACAGGGTTCTAAATACTCCACCGCTGAAGCCGTCCATTCCAGAATGGCACAAGAGGCCAGTCAGTGTTTGGGTTGCAAAAGATTTGGAGTTGAGTAGCAGCTGTTGCCTATGGTAAGTGGACACCCCTGCAAACCAGACAGGACCGGTTCGGGTGAGGACTGCGGAAGCACCACATCTGATTCCCGCAGTCACAGTTGCTGCATCAAATGGCACGGTGCAAACGGATGTCACAGGCTACGTGGCTCCTACACGGTAGCAACAGAGAGGCACGCCGGCCGCAATTGTAGAGGCATTGCCTAGCCCGTCTACAAATTGGACNGATGTCACAGGCTACGTGGCTCCTACACGGTAGCAACAGAGAGGCACGCCGGCCGCAATTGTAGAGGCATTGCCTAGCCCGTCTACAAATTGGACATGACATGTCAGGGTGCCCGCAGTTGCAGTTGCTGCATCGAATGGCACCGAGCAGACAGATGTCACAGGCTACGTGGCTCCTACACGGTAGCAACAGAGAGGCACGCCGACCGTAATTGTAGAGGCATTGCCTAGCCCCTGTCTACAAATTGGACATGACATGTCAGGGTGCCGTACATGAGTGGAGTATTGACTGTCATCATACGTATGAAGACAAAAACTCGCATGGGCTATCCCTTCATAATCCTCACGGCACAAGGCGTGCAAACCATACGCTGGCCAAATCGTAGGTGGGTCATCATAGAGCGGCATTGACCAGGTTTCTGGTGTTTCCCCAGTATTTATTCCCTCTATATGGGCAGATGATGACGAGGATTGATCCAAACACGGGTGTCTAGCTGCTGAAGGATTTGGTCTGCAACAGCTCGCCCTGGTGGTGATAACCTTTCAGTACAGCGCTCTGTAGCTGTGTGTGTGTGAGAGAGAGAAAGAGAGAGAGCGAGATACTGACCGGTGAAGGGTACCGCCTCGAACTGCAGCAGATCGCAGGGTAAGGCCCAGCCAGTGCTAGTGCAATCTCCTGACCTTGGCGCCCAGCTAAGTGCTCCTCTGCCCATCGCCGCTGAAAACCTCCAACGGGGGGACCGTAGTAGTGATTGATGCCAGACCAGAAAGGCTCCTATGGAGAACACATTTAATTGATCCTTTACACCGCGTTCAGGTCGCAGTTGGCCTCTCGCCCAGCACCTCCTTGATCTGCTACCTCTAGCGCTAAACTTGAATATGCTGGTCCTGGGTCTAACCCGGTGATGCTCTCCAGCAGCCAGGGGCCGAACTGAATGCTGTAACTTTCCCATAATGATGGCTGGGCCCAGCTATATACTGCTGTGCCTCTCTCTCCATCACCGGATAACTGGACGAGGCTCTAGCAGACTAATAAATGTCCAGTCCTAGTGGGGACAAAAGTCTTTTTGGGTCTCAAATCGCCAAAAATGTGTGAACCAGCCTACCAATGGTCCAAACAGGCACTTTTGCCTGTTCAGACATCCAAAATCCGAAAAAATACTGTCACAGACCAGACCAAAACACTAACAGACAAAAATACAAAAAAACAAAAGCGAACTCAGAAACAAATGAGTAAATGACATAACAAAAACAATAACACACACTGACTTCAGAAAAAGGAACCAACGCCCAGAAAAGTGCACGACGGCCCAAAGGCCACCGTAAACCAGGGTCACGTGCCCTCAGACCCAAGAATCCAAGGCCGGCCCCCAGGGCCTGTGTGGTAAACCCGTCTCTCTCTCTCTCTCTCTCTCTCTCTCTCTCTCTCTCTCTCTCTCTCTCTCTCTCTCTCACACACACACACACACACAC